AATAAACTCTAGATTATGTGAGATTAGGTGAGATAAACGTTACGAGCAATTTTGGAATTACTATGTTATACGAGGGCTCAGATATGGGAATAAGGATGGCGGGTTGCCTGAATCCAACCTTACGTCCCAATGCAGGGTATGAGTAAAATACTGCACTACACGAGAGTTTGCATATAAGAATAACAAAGGAAGAGTGCACCAAACGAAACATATGCAAAAATACGGAATACTAATGACTAAATACGATCAAGGGTGTCGCTGACACCAAAGCACGTAGCAGAAAGAGGTTGAAAGAGGGGGAAATTATTTCCAAATATTATCGTGTATGATAGTCATGAAGTAAGCTACTCATAAGGAGTATTTAGCGAAAAAATATGGCTAGGTTAATGCACTCTAAATATTTCGTGCTAGAGAGTGGCTTGGTTAATGCTCAGTGTCCTTGATTCCAACGGAGACGCTCCCACCACCACTAGAGGAACTCCCACTCCCATTGGTGGCACCGCTGCCCGTCGAGCTTCATATCTTCATGCTCCCAGTTGAGATAGTCAACATTAGTTCTCACGTGTTCCTCCCAACACTAGTCCCATCACCACCGGTTGCCCACCCACTGCCTCCAGAGGCGCCGCTGTTGGATGTGCCCACTGTTCGTACTAGTTTATCTCTCCCTTGGTCGTGTTCACACTGCACTCGTTGTTACTTGACTCTTGTAGATTGTCTGTTGTAGGATGTCTGTTGTAGGAGGAGTTGGAATCGCCTTGCCCCATGGCATTCTACAAAAAGACACAGCCCCTTGTTAGAGCTGAGGGCGATGGTCGAACCTAGGGATCGTCGAAGAAGACATCGTTCCACCCCAAACCCCGAATCCCACCCTCGCTGCCAACGCAGAGCGCTGCTGTCTCTGGACAGCCAGTACGCTTGGTAGCGCAACGCTTCATCGGACTGCGTCCTTTCCCCCCACCCTTTTTTTTGTGTCTTCTCCTCATCGGGGGACAACCATATATTTTTCTCTCAGCTCATATTTTTTTTAACTGGCGTTCTGCCATATCATGGAACATATCTTTCTTTCATGACCTACCTATCACTACTCCAAAGGCCATACAGGGGAACCCTGCAAGCATAGCTTTCTACCTCCCTCTGGTGAAGGAAGGTTACCTCTCGGTGGAGAGAGGTAACATCATGTTTGCCCCTTTGCCCTAGCGTTTAGGGTGCAGGGTTGGGGCCACTGTTGGGGGCCCCGCTAAGACAAGGACCGAGCATTTGCCAGTAACTGTGCCTCCTTTTCATTTTCCCCACCCCCATCAAGTAACAGTACTGTCTAAAGCCAACAAAACGAAAAAAGGAGGAAAAATGACAAAAAAAAGCAAGCAGCCTAGCTTAGTTGGTTAGGCAGGTAAGTGGCATTCAGAAGGTTGTGGGTCCAAGCCACACTGACCATCACCTGTGGCACTCTTGGTGCCAACCGACTGAGCCGACTGGGATAGTTGGCTAGATAGTTGGCTTACTCCCCTGTTTAGTATTGGTAGGGTCTTTCGTGTGTATGTGTGTGTGTGGGGGGGGGGGTTGTGTTTGTAGCCCTAAGGGTTGTGGCATCTGTGTCAAGATGGCGCATTTTTGGCGTCGGCAGACCAGCGAACAAGTGGGTTCTTTGGGGGTAAAAGTTGTCAGGGGACTGGTCCTTCACAAGCTTGTGGAGGACCGACAACGAGCTTTATGAAAAACCGGTGTCATGTGAAAAAATCCACCCTAACATGTAATTGGCAAGGGGCCTCTGAAAAAACCACCCTAACAGTTGTTCGCAGGCCTCTATGGAAAGTGTTCTCTGAAAAAACCACCCTAACAGTTGTTCGCATGCCTCTATGGAAAATATTTCCGCACCTGTACATATCTCGCACGCCTCGACGTGTCGCAGAAATAGTGGTTGTCCCCAAAAAAAAACAAAAAACAAAAAGTGGTTGGAAAACAATTTCGCACTTTAGCATATCTCACAGTCCCAAGCGCGCTATAGAAACAGTGGTGGGTTTGAAGGTTGCAGGCCTGATTGCTGTCCCAAACAGGCTTTGAATGTCACCGCCCATAAAGAAGGGAGAACGGGCATGAGAGACAGAAAGAAAGTTCAACACATGCGCGGTGAGCAGTCCTCTCACACCTTAGTTATTAATCAGCGATAAGCACAACTACCCACCTCGTGTAGGAGACAAGCCTGTACACCTCCAGTGTCTCAGAATGACATACGTAACATACCCTCCCAGCGTACAAGCCAAAGAGCATTCACTCCCTCGTGTCCGACATATACCCACGCATGATCCTTCCCACCATTATAGTTATATTTGCTGCAATCTCAATCCATAAGCTACCATAATGGCATGACCTTATGTTCAGGTAATTGGTTGTTTGGTGTGATAAACATCATCATTATCCCATTGTCTTGAGAACACACCCTCGATTTGTAAGTTCATGAACAAGCTATGATACATAATCATCATAATCGTCATCATCATCAATCAACATTAGCAATCATGATCATCACAACTACCATCATCATTAATGTCTCCTTCTCTCTCTGTCTGTTTGTCTTCTCTCTCTCTCTCTCTCTCTCTCTCTCTCTCTCTCTCTCTCTCTCTCTCTCTCTCTCTTTCTCTCTCT